TACAACAGTGGCACCATGCAGTATGACCTGTCACCTTTTAACAGCTGACCAGAGGCTAGAATGATGCTAATGAGCTCTGATCTCAGTCCTCCTTTCTCCAGGCTGTGCTACCTCTTGGGCCCCTGTTTGTACTTCTATTAAATGGCAGTAATAATGCTCTTTACCCCTTAAGATTTTGGTGAGAATTAAATGAGACAACACACAGGATGGTTTGAATTTTTAACTCAGAGCTTAAAGTGTAGGAAGAACATATTCAAGAATAGAAAAGCCACAGCCCAGACCTGCTCGTGGCTCTCTACCTGGTTTTGTACCTTTCACAAGCTTAGAATGTATGTTGTCTCTTTAAGTGGTTATGAAGAGAAAATAAAAAATGTGATGTTTCATCAAATGTAAAAATGATAGGCAATGCCGGTCTCAATGCCTGTATTAAAGTTTCATTGGAACACAGCTCCACTCGTCCCTCTGCCTCTTCTCTCCAGCTGCTAGAGGCTGTTTGCAAGGTTGAGTCGTTGCAGCCAGGAGTCTGTCAGCAGTGGGAGCATTTGTAGGGCAAAGTTTTCTGGCCTCTTGAGGAAGCAAGCAGGGAACACAGCATTAGGAATGAGAGCTTCTTAGTAAACAGGGGGTGTGTCTCCTTGCAGGACTGTACCTCTCCTAGCCAATGCCCACGTGCAAGGAACTCCCTCATTTCTCATTGCTGTTGAGTTGAAATTGACTCGTAACTGACGCTCCAGTGGTTTTTCCAAGGCTGTAAATCACACGAGAGGAGATGGTCCGTCTTTCTCCTAAGAAGCAGCTGATGTCTTGGAACCTCACGAGAGGCTCAGCCTTTGGGTTGGCAGTGCCCCTCCTTACAGACTCCTCCACCTACTGGAGAAAAGGTGTGTGGAAAGTAGAATTCAATGTCCTCTCGAAGACAGTGCGATTGGCACAGGGCAGAGCAGAGTTTACGGCTGTTGTACATACGGTCGCTATGAGTCGCAGGCGACTTGGTGGCACATAACAACAACAGCTCAGAGAGAAGTTAGTCAAACTAGAGAACAGTACTGTAAACATTCAAAGCAGATAATTGCATGTGATTAAGGGGTGGGACAGTGGTGGCATAGTGGTAGAATTCTTGCCTTTCATTCAAGAGACACTAGTTCAATTCCTGGCCAAATCACTTCAAGTTAGACCATGACTCATCTGTCAGTGGAACCTTACGTGCTGCCCTGATGCTGAACAGGTTCCAGGGCAACTTCAAGACGAAGACAGCGAAGACACAGGCTCAGAAGAAAGGCCCATGTGCTACTTCTGAAGTCAGTCAGTGACTTCAGATCATAATAGTGTGTGTGTGTGGGGGGGAGGGTCATTTGAGTTGGAGGCTCACTGTTGTTGTTGTTGTTCTTGTTGTTGTTGTTGATTGCCCTTGAGTTGAGCATGACTCATAATGACCCTATGAACAAAAGGCCTGAAGCTTCTCTACAACTATCGACATTTATCAAAGTTCATAGAGTTTCCGGAGGCATGTTGTTTAGGAAGTGGATGCCGCTCCTGCTTCCAAACCTGTCATAGTATGTTATTGCTTTTATGTGCCATTGAGTAGCCTGTGTACAGCAGCTCTGAACCCTTCCCTGTCCTGAGTCATTCTCACTATTTGCAACACACCAACCCAATTACCACAGTTACTGTATCAATTCATCTCATCCGGGGTCTTCCTCTCCATCCACCCTTCTGAGCATGGTGTCCTTCTCCAAGGACCGATGTCTCCTGCCCACTGAGGCTCACCACAGGAAGCATATTATGAGAGTCCTTACCTAGTGAGCTCTTGTTGTTTAATTGTGGTTGAGTTCATTCTCATTTCTCTCCCCGCAACTTTCCAAAACTCACTTACGAGCTACCATAAGAGCCACCTATAGTTACAAAGGATATGATGTAAAACAAGACAAAAAAATAAAACTCTTCGGAACTGATATTGTCTCTGGTTAAGCACCTCGGTCATGTTCGTGGTATGTGTACCATATCCCTTATTAAAATCAGACAGAGGAGATTTCGTTCCCAAGCAGGACACAAATCTGATTTTCATACTGTCTGTCCTTCATGCCCCAAGTTACAATGTGCAGATACAGTAGTGCGTTGTGAGCGAGGCCTGGCTGCATCCACAGCTCCAGCCTGAAAGGAAATTGAAAAATGATCCAAATAAAAATAGAATTCATATGTCTGTATATGCAAATCACTTAACCCAAGTTCTGGATTTTCCACTTGGGATGCCAAGGGGTTTTCTTTGCCTGCCAAAAGCCGACTTCCTGGCCTGACTTCAAAGCTAGTTTGAGTCTCTGGAAGTTCCGTGTTCGGCCTACTGAAATAGCTGTGCTTGGGAGAAGGGCCTAGTGGCCCAGTTTTTAGGAGTTGATGCTTCTCGACATTCGGAAAGGCCCAGGGAAGAAACTGTTGGTACTTACATGATGTTAATTTTAAAAGCTGTTACCATACATCTCACCGTGTTGTTAGGAGTCGTTTCTCTCTAGATCCTTGCACGCAGCAAAGGAGCCAATGTCAAAGGCAGAGCTCTGTTCATTACCTCCCTAAAGCCCTCACCTTTCTTCCCTGGACCCCATGTGGAAATGATTTTTGCCGCACCCACAAAGTACTTAATTCTGAGTAGTCTAAATCACTCATCCTGTTCACTTTACTAGCAATAAGTCTAGGGGTGACGATGTGGCTTAGTATTGACTAATGAACTGTACTCTGACTTAGAGAATCAAAACACAGAAGCTCATTTAGAGCAAATCTTCTTCCATACTGTTCCTTCCTTCCTGGGACACTGGGTTGAAGAAGTGATACCTGGTGCTACAGCACCTATTTTGTGACAGTGAGGTAACAAAGTAAAAATGAGAATCTCTCCTGCCAAAAATAACTGAGCCAAAGAAGAGAAGGTAGCATAGGAGGAAATTGTCCATCTTTCTCCCAAGAGGGAGCTGGTGGATTTGAATCACGTGTCTTTGGGTTGGCAGCACAACTCTTTACCACTAGGCTACCAGACTCTGCGATGTTAACATAATCATCTCTTACTAGTGAAATGTCACATGGTAGGGATTTCAGAAAATTCATGCTTGTGAATAAATAAATAACTCCTATGATAACGTGGGCAACACTCACTAGCTTTAACTGAGAGGTGATGTTCTAAGAGCCTTACACGTACTGGAGAGTGTGTCCAGGATAGCAGACTAGGCAGACGTCTTACCCATAACCTCCACAGTGCAGACCCAAAAGCCAAGTCAGGTGGATGTGTTGACAGTCCTGAAGCCCAGAGCTTGAAAGGACATTGCATCCAGTGCCTCCCTTACTCCTCACGCCTTTCTTACATTACATATGCATTACTCCCACTGAGAAGCGAGGCAGCAAAGGCTCAGAAGTGTGGAATAACAGCCTTGTCAGGTGGACCTGTGCTCATGGCCACTAAGTAGACTGCCTCCACTTCAGATTTTCCCCAAGAGCTTTTCTGGCTGAACTTTGCAGAAACGCAACTCAGCCAGACCTGGATTAGAAAACCTTTGTCCATGTTCAATCCCAATCTCCACTCTCATTTGGCTCCAGTCTCTGCTGGGTTTCCTCAAAATAGACCAGGACAGAACACTAGCCATTCAGCAAGCAGTACAGAGACCAACTCACCGATCCAAGTCGTTGGGCCAGTCCAAGGTCTTTCTTTAGAAAGGAACCCTGGGGGCACATTAGGTACGGAGCTCAGCTGCTAACTGAAACATTGACAGTTCAAACCCACCACTGCTCCTTGGAGAAAAATCTTCCCGTCTGCTCCCATCAAAATCACCACCTTGGAAGTCCTGCTGGGCAGTTGTATTCTTCCCTGTCGGGTCATCACGAGTCAGAATCAGCTCTGTGGTGCAGCTTTGAAGGTCAGTCTTCAGGACAACTTACTGTTTGCTCACCATCGCCTCTTCCAATCCTTCTTCTGTTTGGTCAGTCCGTGCTTTTATTGCCTGCCTTGCCCCTGAGGTCCTTTGAGTTCTGACTTCCCAAACTAGATCATTATTTACAAAGAGAACATACTAGAAATCAAGTCACTGTCCTGTTTGTTTCTTTTCGATTATTTGTATAATACAAAATATAATATATAATAGAAGTCAAGTCACTGTCTTAAAGGAAAGTAAGGTGGAGAGTGATTGCTAGATCAAATTGCCATATTTCAGAGTATTCCTGTATCTTCCTTCTTTATGGCTGCCTCTCTGCTTCAGTTGGTGATACAGAAATGAAAAAGTCTTTCCCATTCAGGTCACTGGGGGCCAATGGCAGAGGAAAGGAAGCTCTTTTTCCATCCACATTCTGTTTCTGTAAATAACTAAGTTTCTGGGGCTCTTTTT